GATTGATAAGTTATGAATTTGAGTCGAACATATTGTTTGGACTGCGATTAATTGTTTTGATTATAATACGCTTAGTGAATACGATACAAAGTGTCGCGATTGCTCTTTACCAATGACTTCATTTGAGAGGTTCTGAACACAAATTCAGTGCCGTGTGACCCATGTGGGTTTAGCGCTAAGTTATGATGATAATGAAGATAACTTGAAAAGGGCGGTGGAGGAATTTGGGAGGGTATTGTAAATTGATGATATTGAAAGAAACCCCAAATATTTCTATTCATATGCAAAATCCAAGATAAAAACTACCACCATACCCCCGGCCGGGATTGAACCCGCGGTCATAGAGTCTCAAAACTCCAGCCCGTCGCGCTAACCACTAGACCAGCTAGCCACAATAAGATTCATCCAACTAGGTATATTTCTACACCATAGGAAGGTTAGCACAGGCACCTCTGTGACCACAAATGCAAGTTTTTACAGACGAATCTCCAGCTAGCGTGGCCGTGACGAACTCTAGTTCAAGTCCCTTCACTGCCGTCAACATGACTTAAGAAATCGTAATGACACGATTGCAAATAAACCATACCCCCGGGAATTGAACCCGCGGTGCATAAGCCTAAAAACATCCAGCCCGCGCGCTAACCACTAGACCCTAGCCAAATAAGATTCATCCAACTAGTTATATTTCTACAAAACATGAAGGTTAGCACAGGCACCTCTGTGACCACAAATGCAAGTAATTTACAGACGAATCATCCAGCAGCGTGGCCGTGACGAACTCTAGTTCAAGTCCCTTCACTGCGTCAACATGACTTAAAGAAATCGAATGACACGATTGCAAATAAACCATACCCCCGGCCGGATTGAACCCGCGGTCATAGAGTCTCAAAACTCCAGCCCGTCGCGCTAACCACTAGACCAGCTAGCCACAATAAGATTTTATCCAACTAGTATATTTCTACACCATAGGAAGGGTTTTCACAGGCACCTCTGACCACAAATGCAAGTTTTTACAGAAAGAATCTCCAGCTAGCGTGGCCGTGACGAACTCTAAATTCAAGTCCCTTCACTGCCGTCAACATGACTTAAGAAATCGTAATGACACGATTGCAAATAAACCATACCCCCGGCCGGGATTGAACCCGCGGTCATAGAGTCTCAAAACTCCAGCCCGTCGCGCTAAAACCCCTAGACCAGCTAGCCACAATAAGACTCATCCAACTAGGTATATTTCTACACCCAAGGTGCCTGTGCTAACCTTCCTATGGGGTAGAAATATACCTATTGGATGAAACTTATTGTGGCTAGCTGGGCTAGTGGTTTAGCGCGACGGGCTGGAGTTTTGAGACTCTATGACCGCGGGTTCAATCCCGGCCGGGGGGATGGGTTTTTTTTGCAATCGTGTCATTACGATTTCTTAAGTCTGTTGACGGCAAATGAAGGGACTTGAACAGAGTTCGTCACGGCCACGCTAGCTGGAGATTCGTCTGTAAAAACTTGCATTTGTGGTCACAGAGGTGCCTGTGCAACCTTCCTATGGTGTAGAAATATACCTAGTTGGATGAATCTTATTTTGGTAGCTGGGCAGTTTTTAGCGCGACGGGGTGGAGTTTTTTAACTCTATGACCGCGGGTTCAACCCGGCCGGGGGTATGGTTTTTTTTTTGCAAAATTTTTTCCACCAAAATTACCGGCCCCTCGCCCCCCTCTTTTTCCCCCAAACCCTCAACCTTTTCGCCCCCCCTGCCCCAAAAACTTTCTTTCCTTCCCTCCCCCCCCTTTTTCCCCGGCCCCCCCCCCCCCCCCTCCCCGCAAACCCCTCCCTCCCTTTCCCCTTTTTCTCCCTTTCCGGCCCTCTTGCCCTCTTTTTCCCCCCCTCCCCTCTCCTCCCCCTTTTTCTCCCTTCCCCCCCGCCCCTTTTTTGGGCCCTTTTCCCCCCTCCCCCCCCAAACCCCGGGGGCCTCCCCCCCCCCCCAAAAATCCCTGCCCTCTCCCC